AAAAAGTCGACTTTTTCAGCAAGCCAGCCTGGCCTGAACAAAACAAAATAAATTGTTGATCATTGTTAATTTTAATCGAATTTTTTATTGTTAATTCTAATTGGGTTTGTTTGGGATATTCTATTTAATTCTTTTTAACGTTTGTAATATGTTTTTTTTTTTTTAATGTTGTACGCCGCCCTGAGTCCTTGGGAGAAGGGCGGCATATAAATCCAATAAACCTAACCTAAACCTAACCATGACCACAATTGAGCCCAATATTTCTGTTGCTAAGCGAGACATTTGTTAAGTGAATTTTGCCCCATTTTACAACCTTTCTTGCCACGGTTGTTAACTGAATCACTGCGGTTATTAAGATGGTGGCACGGTTATTTGGCGAATCTGGCTTCCCCGTTGACTTTGCTGGTCAGACAGTTGCAAAGGTTGGTCACATTACCCCCTGATACGGCAGCCGTCATAAATATGAGTCAGTTGCCAAGCATCTGAATTTTGATCATGTGTCCATGGGGATGCTACAAAATAGTCATAACTACCCTTTTTCAGTGCCATTGTAACTTCAAATGGTTACTAAACAAACTGTTGTAAATCAAGGATTACCTGTATTTAACAGTGAGGCAAAAGGAAAATTATGTTCAGAAAATAGAGTGACCATGGGGACAGTGGCTATTCACAAAGTAGTTGCTTCCTATGATTCAGATATTCTTGCATTATTGAAATGGTTTCTTGTAATCTAATTATTAGACAGTGTTTGAATTTATAATGAGTTGTAAAAAAATAATAATGACTGATCTTAACACATTCTATGTTTCTACCCATTCTTGCAATAGGCTTGTCAACTTCCTTTCCCATTGCTGGGACCTTCTTCAACAGCTGGTTGGCTCAATCTGTACAGATCACCACAGAGAACATGGCAATGAGTGGATGGTCCTTGAACAACGGACATCATGAAAACACCACTCCAGGCCTTTCTGAGGAACTTTTACAAGATGAAGAGACCTTACTAAGTTTCATGATGGATCATTCCTTGAAGTCCCCATTGAAACAGAGTGACACAACTAAGAAAACTAAAAGTAAACATCGAACACACACGAAGAAAAAAACAGCAAGAAATGGCTTAAATGCCCTCTTTAAAAGACATCAAGAAGAGGATTCAAACAAATGGACTAACAGCAGTTATTTGGCAAATAACACCACAAAATCTTTATCCCATGATTTAAGAAATGGCAAGGCAGAGAAAAGTATGGACAAACTACACTCAGAGCGCAAAGGGGCATGTGAAGTGAAAAAGACATCTAAGAAGGGCTCTTCTCATCCTGTACTTCCTCTTCCAAAAGCAAATGATTCTCAAGCATCCCCCAGCCTCATAAATAACCTAAACCATGATGAGGATGTCATGAAATACACCCCAACAGATCCTAACTCTCTGGTTCAAGTGCCTGATTCAGTAGGTAGTCTGAAAACAGTGGTGAGGTTCAAATTACCGAAAGAAGGCAAAGGGACTCAACGATCACAGAACAAGACACCTGAAATGCTTCACGGACCTCCAGAAAATGAAAGGTCAAAGGTTATCTTGCATCCTTTTGACAATGAGACTGATGGCTACTTTTCAGATGCAGAAATGAGTGACTCTGACACAGAATCTGGAAGTGGCAGAGGGCACCACAGCCAGTTAGATTCAGGAAACGAGGATAATTTCAGAATGAGCATTTTGGCATCTTAATGCACCTCTGAGACCAGTCATGACAGCTTTGTGAGGCCTAAATCCAGTTAAAACTGCCATGTCCAATTTCAACTGGTATCATAACAAAGGGTTTTGGTTTGTTACTTTGTTTTTAATTTGTATATATAATTCAGAAAAGAGCACTGTTGTTTCCTCTCTCTATATGCTTGAGAAACAGCTCCAGGCTTCACCAATTTAAACTTCTATACAGTCACAGTAGTTAACCCTTATCACATCTATATCTTGGTTACATAGAATGCAAACATACACATTATTAAGGTCATCAGTTTTCTGGGAGCAAGCAGGACATCTCAGGATTTTAATGAGGAGATCTGAGATTGCCAGCATCTGTTGTTCATGCAGGGATGACAGTTTTATGGGCATTACTTTCGGAAGGAGAATACTATGGATACAACTATATCCACAGGACGTGGAATAGTGAAAATAGATGTTTATAGGTATGTGTGTGTCTGTGCACCTGCACATGAATGTACACATGTGCAGGGTTTGCCAGTGTGTATGTTTGCGTGTGCAAGTATGAAGTAAAATAAGCGATTCTTTTTTTTTTAAAGAAGCACAACAGGCTTATTTGAAGAAAGCACTTAATGGGTAGAGGAATACAACATTGTATTTATGGTCTACTAAACTCTTCCCCCCTTCTTCTCCCTCATCCCTCACCTCTTTAGTTCAATTAGGGTCCATCCAGGAAGCAAGAACCAAGATTTAACACTCTATCACTCAAATTATCAGCTGAGCAGCTCTACAAAGACCCATCCAAAGCTCTCAGTAGATAGAAATTACAGATCCACGCTAAAGCTGCTCTGTTCCCTGTCAGTATCTTTCCAGATTAATTTGGGGTATTATTTATACTATTCATTGGTAAAACCTAAACCTTTGCTTGTTAGAGCCATCCCCCATAATTTCCTCAGGTTAAAGTAGCCTAGTATGGGCCAAACAAAGATCAGAAGAAGAAATGTTTCAATTACTCAGAGGGGGAATTATTCAAATCGCTTCAAAGAACTCCAGTCTGTGCTTTCATGATAACTCAATAAATCTCTGCTCATCTCTTTAGGAGCTGCTACAGTAGCAGTCACTTGGTTGAAGAGGCAGCATCATTGAAACATTTCCTTTCCCATCTCATTGGTTTTTATAAACACTAATTACATTGATGGCTTTTCCCCTTTATTTCCTTTCCATTCAAAGTAGAAACTTGTTAGTGAGCCATCAGCACATCCTAAGAGGGTGATTCACAGAAGTCAGCATTCTAAATATTTCAGTAATACTGTACATCAGATGTTTCTAATAAGCCTTAAACGTTGTTTAAAAGCTGATGTGACTTATGAGTCATAAGGATCTCCACGTTTGCACTTCGTTACACTATTGATTCAATTTTGGCTTCAAAAGTTACACAGTTTTGAGTTTGCTACAGGCTTGATGGGAGTGGCCCCAGTGTAAGCTCAGGGAAGTAAAATAAAAAGACAAGTGAAGTTCACTAAACATTTTTGCTGATGGTAGGTAACTTTGAATACGTGTGTGGGTGTGTGTATGTGTGTATGTGGTATACACACATTTATACATATCCTTACATATGCACACTGGGACACTTTCAAACTGGGGGAGAAAAGCATCTTGTAATTCTGATGAATCTGTGAAATTATTTTATGGATGCCAAAGAATATAGTAAAATAGCACAGCCAGAAACCAGAAACTCACTATGAGCAAAAGCTGTTGAGTAACTAAAGGACTAAATCCGTATTCATGACCCACTTTGCACGCTTGCTGAAGATGATGCTTTCATCATTTGAACCACCTTCCACCATTGTGATTTCTGATGTTACTTGTTCACTGCAGTAAGAGCAATATTGTTGGTTTTTGGTGGATTTTTTTTTTTTTTTTTTGGTTCTCTAATGCCATATACTGGCAATTCTTTTTTATTTTGTTTTTTTTTAAAGTCACATTATTTTTACCAGTCTTCTGAAGTTCTTAATACTATTCCAGTTGAGCTATAATTTAGAGAATCTCTATTCTGGAAAGCAACCAAAATCAGTTGCCAAATACACGACAGTGTTTTACTGATATATGATTGCAAAACTATTTCTCAAATCATTGACCAAAATGGAACAGTTCAATGTTAGTAGCCTAGCATATGGATTGGCAAGTAAATTTTGTTCCACCTTCAAGGCTTGGTATGTTCAGATAATGTTAAATACAGTAAATAGGACTTAGTTTTATCTTATCAAGCTTGCTAGACTTTAGCTACAATATCCTAGTTATGTCATACAAATAATCAATATGCTGCCTTTAATGGATCTTGCTTCCGTGTGCTTCAGTTCAACTATTGCTTTAAAAACAGAGAAAAAAATCCAGAAATCTTGCTGTATGCAGCTTCATTTGCTAGCTACTGCATTACTTGCTTGCTCACTCAATACAGGACAGCAAAAGGGGTAAACTTTAAAGAACAACCAAACTAAAGCAACCTCTCTTTGTTTAGATGATGTATAGAAGGATGGAACACTCCTTTTTTTTTACTGTGAATAAGATTCTATTATGAAACCGTTTTTAAAAAAAGAAAATGCAAAAATAATTATTACTTTGCCATGGTCCAGAGTCTCCAGTGCAATCTTAACAGTGATATATATAGATAGATAGATAAATGTATCACAAAAATATCATTGAATGTTGCCGACTTACAGTCTTCCTTAAAACTGGAGGGAACAAGACAGCCTGTATTCATGTAGGACTTCAGAGAGTCGAATGGAGTGTTGGAGTACAGCCTTTCTATAGGATATGCTCATAATGCTTTAGCTATCATGTTTTTTGCAGAGAGCAAACGTTTACAAGGCTACAGTGGGTTTTGTTGCATAGAGAATAAAACTCTACGTGATAAAAAGGATACCGAAGATTTCACAAAGAAACAGGAACCCACTTTTTCCTAATAACTTTAATTGCCCTTCCCCTCACAGAAGTGGTTTGACTTGAGAGGGGCTTCTGCCAGCAAATAAAAGAGTTTTCACTGATTCCTTTTGCAGTTTTCCACCTCTTACATTGTGCATTACGAAGCATTTCAGGCACATAGCATGAATTGGTAAAAATCTGCATGCACACTTCAATTGTTGAAACCTTATGGGGAAGTGTGCGCGTTCTTCCTTTCTCTGAATGATAGAACTCAACAAGGCTGGGTTCGTAAAGTGTACGTATTTTTTGCAAATGCCGAGGAATATGGATTTGGATTTTTTTTTTTTAAAAGAAATAATATGCTCAGACTAAATAATGCTCACTAGAGTTCAGTGTCCCTATAGAAATGTTTCTCAACTTTGGCAGTTTTGAAGAGGTTATTCTGGGAGTTGTAGTCCACGCCTCTTTAAAGTTGCCAAGGTAGCTACAGTGAAGTCCAGTAAGTGCCTTGGACTCGGTTTCAGTCTATGGGATTAAAGAATAAGCCCTCTGCCAGCTGCTGCAATGTAATATGGAGGAGGGCACAACTTCCGTTAGTTCAGCGGCTGCCCTCACTTAGGGGAACGTGCTGAAGGTTGCAGTCCAAAAGTGGGCAGCACCAGGCCCCATTTGTCAAGAGGGAGGCTGGGAGCTTAAAGGGTTGGAGTGAGTGCCTTAAGCCAGGTACAGGTTTTAAGGCACATAGTTTGCTTCCAAATGCAAACTACCCACTCTGAAGGCCTTCAAAGGGATGCCAGCGGGCCCATTTTTATGTTTTCATTTTGTTTGTGCCCCCAATAATAGTGTTGCCGTGTGGTGGAATAAACACAGTGAAATGCTCCAGATGGTTAAATCAAAGTCTTCTCTAGTATTTGAGGCTTGATATATATAGCTAGCTGTCGAAGGGAGTTGCTCATCGCACAAGGCGGGTGTTTTGTCACGGTTAAGATCCAGCTCTGAATTACTTAAAATCTGTTCTTTTGTGTTGTTTCCAGTAGTGTATCTGTTAGCTCCTGCTCAGTTGACAGCTATGTGCATATTCGTCAAAACCCTTTTAAGGAGAATGCCAATCTTCCTTTGCTACTTAGCACCTGCCTCTTTTCTTGTAGAAGCTAGAGAGATTTGCATAAAGGAAAAAGGAATTGTATGTGAAAAATATTTTTGATGCATTATAAATGTATTTTGAAATGAATGGGGGGAGCATAAATGGTCTATTTTATTACATAAAGGTCTTTAATCCAATAATGTGTGAACTTCAGGCATTGACATTTGCACTGTAAAGGGTGAATCCTGTTAGCATCATGATTATGTATTAACATGGCTATAGTAAAGCTCATTTTTGTGTTCATTAATAAGGATCAAACGTTGTTTTTGAAACCTTAGATTTAAATGGAATGTCTTAGAGTCCAGTTTTAGGAAATGCTCAAATACACTCAAATTTCACCTTCAGTTTTTGGAAACAGGAATGTTGTGGTCTATTTTCAATCTTTTGTTGATAGTTATTTTGTCAGCATTATTAAAAAAACAAAGGTTTGGCAGTGCTTTTCCTCAAAGCACAGTGGAGGTTTAGCCATTTCTCCCCAAAAAGTGTGGGGAGAAAGGGTAAAATTCATTCCTGCCTGTTGCAACCTGTCACAAGGCTCCCTTTCCTGTTACTAAATGGGTGTGGCAATTTGGTTGTTCTTTAAGGAATCTCTTGCACACTTTGGTCCATTCCACACTGACATAATACAGGCCCACTCTGTATCAGTTACAGGAAACAATATGAATGTCACAGGAGGCAAAAGCCACCTGTTTTCTTTGTTTCAAAGAAAGTGATGTGCCATTTGTTAATATAAAAGAGAAATATTGAAAATATATTGAAAAGAGCAATTTTAAATTATTTTTGGCTTATGTTGCAATATTTATTTTCTTGTATTAGAAATTCCTTTGTAGAGAAAAAAATGTATTTTTCATTAATGCAAAACCTATTTCTCCTTTTTGTACATTTTCCATGTTAGTTAATCCTTAAAGCAATATAATGTATCAAGGTTGTTCTGTGTGAAAGCTGTATTATGCATGCTGTTTGTGTTGCCTTGGAATAGGTCTGTCTGCCATAATTTTCATCATGTTTCGATTTAGTGTATGCTTTAATACACATTGGGACCATGGCCCATTTGCTTATGGAAAAAGAAATACCTTTGCATTCTTCAATGTGTTAGCAAATGCAGTCAATAAAGATGTGTTTTCTGTGTATCTTGATCTGAATGTTAAATATTTAGCAGCCCAGGTTAACTCAGTATTAGAGGAAACCATCCTTTAATATGTCCTCAAGTGTCCACAAGACTTTTAAGATGAATATATGCAATATGAATTATTTCTATCAGCATGGATGATATCGTTCAATGTTAGTTTCTTAATTGTGTGGCCGTGAGTGTTCCATAGTTCAATTAAAGGACAAAAAAGCTGCAGAATTTGATATGAGCTACTTTTCAATAGTTTAGGAACAGAAACGAATGTCTCGAAAGACAGAACAGTGAGCACAAAAACAAGATTTTTAAGCAGAGGAAAGTGCTTATTTTCATCTATTTTCTAGTTCACTAAACACTCCAGTGACTGCTTATACTCCTACACACAACCCAGAGAGCAAGAAATAAAATTGGATGGATTATGTGTTTTTAATGTTTAACTTACAAGACTTTAAATATTGAAACCTCATGAAGAGGAGGATGGAGAAAACAAAATGATCAGCTTTATATGACAAACTTTGTTATTAACACTAAACAACCAGGTGCAAAATCATAGTTCTGTAGAACCAAACTGATTGCATATGTTTCTTTTAATGTCATCAGGCTTTCAAGTTAAATAAGTGAACAATACCAGATACTCCTTGCTTAACAGTGGGTAACAGGGACAAGCCATTCCAGCAGTTCCACTTGTTAGGCAAATCCTGCACAATTACAGCATCCCATGGTCATGTAATCACCATTTCCAATTTCCTGCTGGCTTCCCCATTGACACTGCTTGTTGGAAGCGAGCAATGAAGGTCACAAATAGTGATCACAAGACACTGCAACATCATAATTGCCAAGCACCTGTAGGACAATCATGACTCTGTGGATGCTGCAGTGGCTGCAATTACAAGGATCCAGTGTAAGACCCCTCCAGTGCTGTTACAACTTTGTATGGTCACCAAAGAAGTTTCTATAAGATAGTAAACGCATCCTATGAAAAAAACAAATG